AATCATTTTTCCAATCATATACATATTCATAGTTATTTGTTTATCAACTATAATAACTTGACAATATGACATCTTCCATACATAAATATCCATTCAAGGTTTGGTGTCGACTTATACCCTCCACAGACAATTAATAATGTTCAACCATCTTGGTCTCATATTTGCATTACCTAGATAGTCTCTTATGTAACTACATCAAAAAGTCTCATTATACAACATCATGATACTTATGCTTATAACTCAAGTACTTTGATTTACAAATGTGATCACATACACATTACCGTCATGGTATATGCAATTGTACTTCTCATACATAAACAAGATTGTTCAATCTCACAAATTATACATTTACATCATGGGAGCTTTAAGATTACATATGCGTGCATAATCTTCTAATCAAATAAACATCAAGTTTTTACAAAATACATGGCCATATTGCAATCTCCTCAAAACTACATCACATCATATGTTGTTCCTCCAAAATCTAATTACGTATACATATATCAACAAATCTCCTAAGTATATGAGTCATCCAGCTCTACACAAACTTTTTTCCCTGTGAGATCCCACCTTTTGCAGCTGGAATACCTTAGGATCTCAACATCAATTGATCATTAAGTAGTACATTCCACTGTCTTCGAATTAACTTAAATAACCCTTATCACACATGGCACATAGCATTCATTAAACATATCACTCTTTACCATACTTCAGACACTAGTAAAAGTGAGTTAAGATCTATCCTATAACTCTAGTTGTATTCTGAGATAACAACCTTCTGAGTTTTCCCATAGTCTTCAGACAAAACGTATGCCTATGCATACTCATTTCTTTACTCTTACTTTGCATACTATTCATATATCAAGTACAATGTTTATCCTTACTTTATGCCTAGCACATACCACCACATACTTTAGGATGGATACCAATAATAGGACATAGTCATGCTAAAAGCTTTTGCACAACCATCCTCTTTTAACCCATAATTAATTTCAAAATTCACAATTTAATTGTTTGGATTATTATACTTGTAAGCCTTATGTATATAAAAATTTTTTATTGTCATTCTTTATTAAGAATGAATTTTGAATTAACGTAATCGGTAAAAAATAATAATAACAATAATAAAAAAACGTAATCAGCTTGTTTTCGCCAAATCAACTTAAATGAGGATCGACATATACATAACAATTAATGAGTGAACTTGATTTAAATAGAATAAAATAAAATATTCGTTGAGCAAACATTTAACTTAACTATTATTATTATTATTATTATTATTATTATTATTATTATTTTGTCTGCGTCAAGATATTTCCGCCAACATTGTCATAAGACAGAATCTTCTAACGCCCATTATTTAACTTTGTGAATATGAACATAATTTAAATTTTAATGAAAACATTGTGAATATGAACAAAGATTAAGTGCGATGATAAACGAGTCTTTTTCCCAATCAAAAGTTCAAACTTTAGAAAAATCAATTCTAGTGAATGTCTTTCGGTCATGATCTTGAGTAAAGCCTAGGGAGCTACTTGGTTTTTTAAAAAAATTTGATGTGCCATAGTTTTTTATAATTTTTTGATAAAATAATCTTTGTGATTTTGATTAATTAAGTTCATATATCGTCCAATAATTAATTTGAACTCAATAATAATTGGTTTCTAAGTTGATAGTATTGATCTGTAAATTGGTTCTCTCTCTATATATAGTGTTATACTGCACCATTAAATATAAATTTGGTGCTTTTGTAGTAGCCAATAACAAGTTGATACATCGTGGTTATACTTAAATTTCAACGAAAGGGATAACATGACAACTAAGTTTGGTGCTTTCTGAGGAGCCAATGCCATGGCGATACATTAGAGCTAAACAGGAAAAATGATGCACAACATTTCATAGTGAAGATTTGGCTTTAATCAAAATATCGAACCTTTGCATACAATCAATTAAATCAAATTGACTTGGAATAATGAGACGTCATCAGATAGAAAAGTGAGGCACAAATGATTTTCTTCTGTCATATTTTAAAATCCTGTTTAGATATTTGGCTGCATATATACTCTCCACATTTTTGTTTTTCGTTTTTTTTTTGAGTTGGCCACATATTTTGTTTTCAAATATTGTTATTGAATAAGGTGTGAAATAAGTTGCTCAGTCTTGAATAATATTCTACTTATTTAACTCGGATTAAAGTAAATTATCAATACACACGAGAGAAAAAAATCTTACACTTCACCCTAAACAATTAATGATAGAATATAAAGTTAAGATAATGATAAAGATAAATACATAATGATAGCAGCGGCAGAGTCGGTCCAAAAATTTAGATGGTATCAAAAATTTGACATAACAAATTATTAAAATATTTATCATAATTACACAAATTTATCAGAAAAAAAGTTTACTATGAATTCTAGCATAGTTATCTAAATTATGTACTAAATAATGTCACATAAATAATTGCCAATGATTATATATAAAGCAAACTATAAAAAGGTACTAACCTTGCTGATAAGCATTTCAACGGCCATACGCACAATGGAAAGTTTTCACATTTGAGAATTAGATTTTTCACTATTCTTTGTATGTGAAATAACCCAAAACACAATAGTTAAATGGACTTTCATATTCTATAACTATAGACCTGTTATACATTTGGTTTCATGATTGTTACTTTTAAATGGGCTTATTTGGTTTAGTTGGGTCAAATTTTGAAATTGGTCAACTAATTATTTTTGCGGTTAAGTTTAAAAGTCTTTTTTTTTAAATAATAAGAATAAGAAGAAATAACATAATTGATTAGAATAAAGTGAAAAAAATAAATAAATATACAAGATAAAAAAAAAGATGAAACACAAAAAATAACCATACTGTACACGTTCCTTATCATTTGTTTGCGTTTAGATGATTTGTTGTTACTTTGTATTGAGTATTTGATTTTCTATTTAGGTGGTGCCAAATTATAATTTCAACCTTAGTTAATTATAATTAATTATATAATTATATATAATAAGTAAAAATTTTTAAAACAAATAAGTGTCAAGGCACCTGCTGAATGTATCCCACTGAATGATAGAGTCAGGAAGCGGTTAGGATTAGGAAGGGCAATCACCCCTTTCAAGTTGGTGCAAACCTTTATATTACTTTATTCAGACTGACTAGAAAAATAGTTTAATATAAATTCGCCCCACCCCTCAAGCTCAGTCTTTGAGCTTTTGTCTTTATTATTTCTTAGGTATGAAGAAAATTTGGAGAGTTCTTAAAATTTAGCTATGTATTGAGCCCCTGTCATGTTATCTTGGCTAAATTATCGTAAATTTTGCTTCCTTCACCACTTTTTACAAAATTTCCCGCCATTGTAAATATGAGACAATAACTTGAATTTGTTGGGTTATTCAAGTGTGATGATTCCCATGTTGGTTTATAATGGGCTGAGTAAAGTGTGTATAAGTGAGAGGATCCATGAACTCAATGCCTTAAGGTTTTTGGTTGAGAAGTGGTGTCGGACCCACTTGGTGTTTTTGATCCACTTAGCCCATAGGTTGTGGTCCCCGGCCACGGGCTTCTTCTAGACCCACCTGACAGTAGTAACAAATTAAAGTTGGGTTGGACTCAAGCTAGCCAGATGTTTGGCTAGAAGGCGGGTTAAGTACCTGGATCCTGGAATACTCGGTTGAAGGAGAGTATATCAATTGTGAGTTTCACACTTGAGAGAGAAATTGTTGGAATATTCAAGTGTGATAAATCCTACCTTGGTTGATAATGGGTTAAATAAAGTGTATATAAATAAGAGGATCCATGAACCCGATGCCTTAAGGTTTTGGGTTGAGATGTGGTGTCGGACTCCCTTGATGTATTTGATCCACTTAACCCATTGGTATGTGATTCCCGGCTACGGGCTTTCTTTGGACCCACCTGACAGAATTATCATGCATAATATACAATCACTTTTTGAGTTCCCTAGCTATTAATTTAAGAGTTGGTTTAATTATTGTTGGTTTTTAATTCATATAATAATTAGTCAAATTTAAAAAGTCTTATGATATTTCACCAAACAAATAAAAACTACAAGAAATGCATTGTTATTTGATACAAACTTGAGACATAATATGTACACAACGCAACAAAATTTGAATAGTTAAATTCATCAAGATTTAAAGTACCATGCGATGTCGTATCTGACATGATTGTCTGAAACTAATGACACGAATATGACTAATTTAACTCGTCAATCAATCCACTAACTAAAAAGTATTTCTCGACTTGATTTGGTGGCCGCGGCATCAGTGTAGCAAAGCTATGTCAAGATTCCCACTTAAAACACAATTTATGCGAAGTCACGGTCCATGCAGTGTTTTTGTAAAAACTTTTGTGCTGTTTCATAAAAATTGAAGAGTTCAATACGATCTAATGGCCAGAATAATAAACTTCACTTATATATAACTTGAATAAGTTTAATTATAAAAATACGTCAAATTGTAACTTTCGTGTCAAAAAACTATTTATTCAACACTCTTTGAAGTAGGAATTTAATCTCATCATTGGAATATATATTGTCATAATGATCCCAACAACTTTAAGCAGTTGACTTAATTTTAACTTTTGGAGATGCTATCGAATATCGTCTATCAACGTGTTGAGTATTTATAAGAATCTTTTCTTTCTTTCTTTCCTATATATATTTTTCTTAAAGTATTAAATGACGAGAAGATTACGAAGTGAGGCGGTTACATATATCAGATGTTACATAAATGCATACTTTTTCCACTGCATACATTTCATGTGGCTTTGATCAGTGCATGGTTGTAAACAAAAGGATCGAGAAACATTAGAGGCACCGTGGTCACCCAATTTCTCTTATATTCAAAATAAGCTAACAAACTATCCATGAACTGGGTCTCCTTTGTATTCCTCTTTTCTTCTCCCCCATCAGTCTATCTAATTTTCTTCCCATATATATAAAATATTCTATTTTGTATTCAATTTAGTATAAGCTTCAAATACCAAAGTCACAAATTAATACAGGCGTATTGTTATGATCTCTCTCGTGGTTGGTTACTTTATGGTTACAGCATGAAGAGCAAAATAATAAGACCTAATTATTAAACTTAATAGACCTAAAATGGCAGCTACATTATCACAGACGGTATCTAACCAAAGCCAAACCACACTAAGCGTTCCAATTTATGTTTGGAAGTTGAAACTGTTGCCTCAATACACCATCAGCAACAGGGCCAAGATGCCCATTTGGTTGTAAACTCGTGTTCTGCGGAAGCTGGCTAAGCAGAGAAACAAAGGAATTGTTTTCCTCAGCGGTAGCGCTTCCACTATTAAGGTCACAATGGAATCTCCTGGCAGATGAAGAAGATCCAGTACTGTCATTCCAAAACTGTGAAGGCAGTGCTCGTATCATAGGGAAGTTAGCGTTTCCCTTAGAGTTCGAAGAGAGTTGGTGAGAATCAGAACCATTTTGCATGCTCTGATCAGATGCTAAGATTCCATCGAAGAAGTTGTCGTCATTTTCGAGTCCCAGCGGTCCATAACTCGCGCTTCTCGAAGATGCGGGTTGGGAATTCTGATACGTATTAGCCATTGACAAAGTTGACATCGTTGGTAGCATACTCTCTGTAGAAAGCTCCTTATCCTGTTCCATCAAAGGTAGCCTTGGCAGGCTAGTATTGTTGCTTTTCTTGTATATTCGGCACAAAACCCAATCGTCAAGCTAATACCCAAAAAAAATAAATAAAAAAGCCAAATTCAATAAAATAAAAATAAAAATATTAAACAAAAATGAATATAGATGGGATTATGCGGGACAGTTATAAAATGACACGTTTGGACAAAAAAATTATCAGACTGTCACACCAACAGTAAATTTTGCCAAAATGTCACGCAGCGTAATTCGCTACACAATGTAACAAATTATGCATGCAAGTAATTCGCTACACAGTGTAGCGAAATATACCACGTCAGAACCAAAAATAACGTCACGTGTCAAATTTTGAGAAATTTGTTACACATGCAGCGAATTTATCAAAATTTGGAGTTCTGAGATAGCATATTTCGCTACACTGTGTAGCGAATTACTTGCATGCATAATTCGCTACACTGTGTAGCGAATTATGCCACGTGACATTTTGACAAAATTTACTGTGTTGGCGTGACAGTCTGGTAATTTTTTTGTCCAAATGTGACAAAATGGTCACCGTTCCGGATTATGCATACCCTGAGAGAGTTGTTCTTCTTATTGGTAGTATTTGGAGGATCAGGAGGCTTTGAGATAGAATTGAAGGACTTGTCAAGAAGCCTATACTCGTGCATGATCCAATCGGTTTTAACACCTTTGGGAGGCTTCCCACCATAAAAGACAAGGGCTTTCTTGACTCCAACTTTGTGGTGTCCATCAGATGCCAATATAGGCTTGTCAGTTCCAGTTGCTTTCCAATACCCAGAAGTTGCTGCCCTGTTTGGCCTTGCCCCATTTGGGTATTTCCTATCCCTTGGGCTGAAAAAGTACCACTCTTGCTCACCAAACGTTGCTTTACCTAAAAATCACACCCAAACAAAAAAATAAAAGTAAAAAAATTGCAGCTCATAACATGTTCATACATAACATAAGGAAAAGAAAAGATGGAACTATGATGATGATGATGAGTTAGGTTGCATATATACTTGGGAGCTCCCAGGGATCGAACTTGTAGAGATCAACCTCTGCGATGATTGCAACAGGAAGAGGAGCAGAATCTGTTTTTCTCTTGAGGTAATGAACGAGTAGTTCTTCATCTGTGGGGTGGAACCGAAACCCTGGAGGAAGCTGTGGTTGCTGAGAGTGAGAGCCTGAAGATGAATCCATGCTGTACATGTTCACAAGTCTTCAATTACCCTCCTTCTCTTCTCACACATGCATACACACTACAACTTTTTTAGCCTTTTCTTTTGCTTCTCGTTCTTTTTTTTTTTTTTTTTTATTTGATGTATAAACGTTGAAAAGAGTAGAAGGCACTAAGATTGAAGCATTTCAGAGAGAGAGAGAGAGAGAGAGAGAGAGAGGGGTATGAACAAACATATGGTGAGGATTTGGGTTTTAATTGAGAGAGAAGAGTAGAGTTGGGTAAGATAAATGTACCAAACCGATCCCATTGTTATGTGACACGTGGACACGAGGGAGAGATGGTTCGACACGTGTAGGGACAACAACGACACGAGAATGAGGATGGAGGGCTGGTTTTGTGAGGAGGGAGTTTGGAACTGCCAATACATTTTTTGATGTCATGCTTTTCTTATGCAGACAAAGGAACCTCATGACCCACACTGCTCACACAAACAGACATGGTCCCAACCAAAAATCAAGAGAGAGAGAGAGACTGTATGGCACGTGTGCACGTGCTTTTCTGCTTTGATTACATATTGCAATACTTAGGTTGTCTTCATTTGTTCTTCTACTCTTGGGTAATTGTATTGTGGTGTAGATTATGGCTTTCCATAAAATACTTGTTTGGACTTGGGAGAGTGAGAATGTGGTAGATGACGTAAGGTTTCCAATGGCCAGCAGATTAAATATTTAATCATATATTTTATTTAATTAAAATATTGATACCAAAATATTTTATTATATTTATATTTCAAGTGAGTTATATATACAAAGAAATACTAATAACTAACCATAAAAATAATTAGTGGACACTCACTAAAGGAAAAAAAATTGGATACTATGGAAACCCTCCTATATATATATATATATTTAATTTGTGCATAAGTACGAATAGTATGATGTCAATAAGTTCATTAGATGCCTTTCGTCGCTGTTTGGTTTTATCTGAATATTTTGTAGAAACACCAAGATTATTTATCATTCACAGCTTGTGCACATAAAAGATAATGCCATGATAGCGACTTGAAAGAATTTAGTCGTTCTGTTTTTAATTCATTGGCATATAAGGTCGTGGGAAGCACACTCCGATTTTATGGTTCATATTGTATTAGTGCATGTAGCCAACATCAATCGCAGGAAACAAAAAAACAGAAACGATTATCACAAAGCTATTAGCCCAAAAACAATTTGATTCGGAATGTTTGGATACAACGCATAATTTAAAGATAATTTTCGGATAAAATTGACTCGTTTTTACTAATATTAATGGCTATGTCATTTTTTAATAAGATTTTGTTAACATATGCTTTCTTATACTTTAAAAAATATTAAAATGAAATTTTATATTAGTAATTAATATTTAATTTTTTTTATATTTTTAAGTAATTAAAGTGTTTTAATAAAGAATGGATATTTACCTTTTTATTTTAATAAATATATTAAATCTTAAATATTAATTAATTGCTTTATTAGAATTCCCTTACTTAAAAGTAGTTTGGATTTCGGAAGTGAAGCTTTAACAATATATAACTGCGACAAATAGAAGCAATAAGAATTAATCAAGCAAAGTAGCTGTGTTTTGCATGTAGAATTATAGGCTTGATTGGAAGGTTTGCGTTTAGCTTGGGATAAAGGATTTAGAAAAGTGTGGCTGGAAGGATATTCCCTGTCAGCCCAACAGATTATATCTAATGGGTGTCATCAGGATCACCCTTCGTCGAGCTTGGTGCAACGTATTAGAGGAATGTTGCAAAGATGTTGGCAGGTGCAGATTTCTCATGTCCATCGTGATGGAAACAAAGTAGCTGATTTCTTAGCTTCACATGCGTATAGCTTTCCATGGGATGTGCAAGTCTTTGATGACCCTCCTCCTGGCTGTCTTCAAAGTTTATACAGCGACACTGTAAGTGTTCGCTGGGCTAGATTCTGTACTTAGGCCTTTTTCATTTCCATTATCTTTCAAAAAAGAATTAATCAAGCAAGCTTTAAATCACATGGGCACATGGCCATAACAGCTTCAATATTTTGTCATAAATCTAATTATACCAAAAGTTTAAGTCATTAAATAAAAACAGTTTTATATTTTTATAAAATATCCAAAAAAAAGTAAATTACGTTAGAGTTCTATCATTTCGGATTCTAAAGTTTAAGGACTAATTTGTGAGTTGAAACCTTTTAAAAAGTAAAGTGCAGTAACATAAGTCCCCACAGAAGGAAATAAAATCAGGGCATATATATAATTATCACCTTTCATAATTGCACCTGAAACAAATTTTTTAATAAAGTTTAAGTCATTAATAATATACTTTTTGATATTTTTATTATTCTTACGTAAATTTTATACTGACCTCACTAATAAAGACTATAATCAACATAAAGTTTTACTTAAAAATATAGAAAATGTTAAAAGGAGTTTGTTATTATTATTTCAATAGACCTTGTGCAAAACAAGGGGTTGCAGACAAAACAAGTTCAAATCCTTGAAGAATCTTCAATCATTTTGGAAAGTGGCAACCATGGTATTCGATCAGCCCTTATCTTACAGGGCAGAAGATGATGCTTTTTAACTACATCCAGTTGTCAAGATCACGAAAGCTTAAATTAACGGGTAATCCATGTGCTTTATGAAAATAAGCCAGAAAAAACTGGAAGTTTGTTAAAGGTATAACTCTGGTTTCATAATCTGTTTCAAACTTTAACATATGTGCTTCATCATACCTAACTAGCCATTAATAGTTTTACTCAAAAAGGGAGGGGAAACGAAAGGAAGTACAATTAGTTTGTGCTCCTAATTTGTCCTCTAGTCATGAAGGTTTAGACTTTACAAGTGCAACCGGAAATATTGTCTAGGGTCGGCAAAAATGAGTCAGTTCGTCGAGTTGACTCATAACCTATCAAAAATGAGTCGGGTTGAGTTATCAAAAATGAGTTGTCAACCCGAGCTAGCTGGTGAAAAAATAAGTAAACTTGCAGGTCAAATGAGCCAACTTGCAGGTCAAACGGGGCGGGTTGAGTTTTTTTTTATATAAAAAATACAAAATATAATATATAAAAATGGACAAAACTCACACATGCTGTCATCATTTTTCTTCCTTCTCTAAACCTAAGTCCCTAATTTTCTCACATCTCTGCCATTTTTATATTGTTTGGTTCAAATATCTTACCCACTTGATAGCAAGTGATTCTGATTATTTCTTGATGTTAATGCAAATTTGTTGTAAAGAAAATTCGAAACTAAAATATTTTGCTTTTATTAATTTCTTTTTAATTTATACAATAAACGACGGTTAAATAAGCACATACTGCGAATTTGATGATTACGCAAGCGCTTGCAGGCTTGCAGCAGCTCTATCGCATAGAACATCAAAAGTTGCATAGCGAGGAAACAGACAGAAAACATGTGGGGGGTTCTATTGTTTCGGCTTGTCAACATAATATATTTTTTCGAAAAGGTAAATATGCCCACTAATTAAGTAACTCTGCCACTTTGAACGAAAGCGACGTATTTAGTTTGTTTTCTTTTTATTTTAAATCAATATGTTTTTAGTAATATATTTACAAATTTTTTTGTTTACAAATTCTTATAAAGTACTCTATGTTCTCCAGTGGCGGAGTCCGGGCTAAAAAATAATATGTGTATTTATTTTTTTACTTGAGCAGGAAGCATGAAAAAGAATTATAATTTTATTAAATATTTTTGAATTTTATTGAATATATTTTAGGGAAAACTTCAAAAAAATCTTATTGATTTTTTTAATTATCACTTACTCCCTCACAATTTTTTTAAAATATTTACATCCTTATTTAAATTTTTTTATCACGTACCTCACTAAGTTAGGGGCTAAATGATAAAAAAACTTTAAATTAAGGGAATAAATGATTCAAAATTTTGGAGAGAGGGTAAATGATTATGAAAAAAATTATAAGGGTTTTTTTTGAAATTTTTCCTATATTTTAATTTTTTTTATATAAATAGAAATGGAACACATAACTTAATACAACTTATCCAAATCTTTCACCAAATATTTTTTTTTTGATAGGGCCAAATTACAAATGTTAGCCCAGGCCAAATTATAATTTTAGACTGGGTCAAATTATAATTAATTATATAATTATACATGATAAGTACAATTTGTTAAAATAGATAGTTACGAAATCATAACCGTTGATTTACCTTTGTATGGTTGTAATCTTCCACATGACCATATCATGTTTTTTTTCCACATGAGAGGATCCATTTCCGTTTAGGATAGACAATGAAAAATCAGATGACCTATTGTGCGCTAGTTTATTTAGTTTTTGACATTATTTTCTACATGTGATAAGTTATATATTTTGATTGCATAAAGCAGCATAAATACTACTACAAACATGAGGTAGAATATTTTTACTATATTTTTACTATCAATTTATTATCACTTTAATATCGAGAAATACATTAAAAACTATTTTTTTTTCTTCATAAATTTTTCAGAAATTGTGAATTGAAAAGTGATATTGAACGGTAATTAAATGATAATAGATTTGTAGTAAAAATATTTAACATTAAAAATATCCTACCTCAACAAACACATGCCAATTTGCCAAACGTATAATGCAAATGCTGAAAGCCTAACTAAATATACAACCAGTTTGACTTCTATTTTCCTCCATCCATTTTCATCCCTTCCTTTAGCTATATGATTGTAGAACCATCACGATCAACAAAACAAATTAAAAGGAGGCCATTGAGTATGCAGAATCAATACAATTAAATTGCATGCGCACATAGACAGTTCGATTTCTTCCTAGTGCTTTCTGCATTGCACTATGTGTAGGGGTGGCAATATGGGTTGAGCCCGGCGGGTCAACCCGCCAACCCGCCAAAACGGGGCGGGTTGGGTTGAGATTTTCAACCCACCAACCCACCTCAACCCGCCCCGCCTAGAAGTGGGTCAAAACGGGTTCAACCCGTCGCGGGGCGGGTTGACCCGCCGGGTTTTAAATTTTTTTATTATTTTTATTATTTTTTTACAATTAAGTAATATTTCATTAGTACTTAAATTCTTGTGATATTCAATTTTTTTTTATCTTAGTACTTTCTAGAAAAAATAAAGAATAACAATTTTATTTATAACAAATGTTATCTATTTATAAATT